CCCCCTCCCGCCGCTCCCGCCCCTCCGCTGGCCGCCGGCCTCGTGCGGGTTCGGGGCAAATTGCAGCGGCTGCGGAAATCACCGGGGGTGGAGGGGCGGGCACGGGAATCGATCGCAACTTCTGCAAAGTCTCGTGCGATCCAGACGCGCGAGGGAACCCGGAGGCCGAGGAGCCGCAGCCCGGCTCGGACCGCGCTCGAGAGCGGAGGGCAGTGGGGGAGGCAGAGCGCGCCCTGCGGTGGCAGAGCCTCCGGATTTGGAGTAAAAAAGAAAAAAAAAAAAAAATCTCCAAGAAGCCTGCAATTGGCCAACAGCTTTTAAAAAAATCTCTTCCGGGTTTTCAACGGTTCCAAGTTTATTTCGATTTTTTTTAATGCAAAAAAAAGGGGGACAGCAAATGAAGCAATTCGTCTGAACATTTTAAAGTTTCTCACGTACTCTTTTTACATTGCAATGGTACGTGGTGCATCTTAAACTTTCTATTTCGCGTTTATACGACATGCGTTTTATAAACAACAATAATGGTAGAATGGTTTTGTTTAATGGCTAAGACTTTAAAATTTCTCTAGCTTGCATATGCATTTAAGTGATTGCTGGTAAATGTCTATTGTGATGGTTTTGTTTTAAAGATGTAGCTTTGTGGATGGCGTTTTTTGCTATGTGCAGCGGAGACCCGGTTTCCTTTTTTTTTCCCCCCCGAGATTTGAAAAAATTGCTGAGCTTCACAGATTTTTTTCCTCCTAGCGCTTGCTCGGTTCCAGAAAGGGGAAAAAAATCCTGTACGTGCTGTGTTCTGTAAAAAAGACGTCTGGCCTCAGCAGTCAACCTAACCCGAAAAGAAATGTCTGGACCCGGAGAATAATTGACGATTCGATCCTCTAATCAATGGGACAGCATGGGAGATTGACAAAAGCTTCATCCAATCATGAGGAAGCTTGGGTGTGCAATGGCTCGCAGTAGCCAGGGGGGCGGGCACAGAGGCTCTGAAGTTCTCTGCGGCTCCGGAGGGATGGTGTGGTTCAAGCTGTCAAGGCGGCAGGCTCTTCCGGATTTAGCAAGCACAATAGGAAAGAGTTTTCGAATTTAAGAAAAAAGAACTGATTGGGGGATTTTTGCTGAATCGTATGCCTCTTTCATTGCTTTTTGGAAAAAGTCAGAAAAATTCTGCTACAGAAATATTTGTTTGCATTAATCATTATTTTTAAATTCAGGGAAGTTGTTAACTATTGTGGAAGGCGAGGTTCAACTTTTTAAAATGTGTGGCTTAAACACTTGCGTGAACTGTGGAGCTGTCGTGAGCTTTGGGAAGTGATCTGTTGCATGCTCAGCATTGCAAAACCTCACTCTGCTTGTCTTAGAAGCTTTGGCTTTTCAAGAGCTTTGAAGGCATGGTTCAGGCAAGCCTCTCGAACTCTAAACAGCTTTAAGGGAGAGAGAATGTTTCACAGGTGGACTGACAGCTGTTTTATACATTTGAAAGAAAGGGGGGAAAAGTTTTTTCTTGACTTTTCTTGAATTCTGCTGTTTACATGTATGGTCAGTAGCAAATAGGACATTGACTGGCCAAGTGCGCATTTCTTCTTGTTGCCACAACAACCCCTGCGGAGGGTTCCTGTGGCAGATTGCTGACTCGGCAACTCGGCTGGAGTCTGGCCTGGGACAAGCCTTTGACACCAGTCCAGTGGGAACCAACTGCAGTAGCTTGTCTTGGAGACAGTAACTGGCAGCCTCTGACTAAAATATATCCCTCTCTTCCTTCTTGCTGAGCATTGTAGACACCTAATTCTGTTGGGAAATGAATGGAAAATAATATGGGCTCTTTCCCATCTTTGGATTAAATTCCCATCCAGCTATTTCCTAAGGGTTTAGGCCTTCTAATCAAATCTGGTTTGAAAATTTGATGTAAGAATCCACTTGGATGCTCCGTTCAGCAGCAGGACTCAATTTAGGAATATATGCATATAAGAAAAATCTGTGCACAAGTGACCAGCAGGTCAAAAAACTAGAAAAGAAAAATGTTGGAAAATGTTAGTGATAAAGTTAATCCTGGTAAGAACTACAGTTAATGGTGTTGTCAGTTGTGAACCCCAATTTTATCTTCACTGCTTTGGGCGTTAAAATCCAAATCATATTAATAAGATCTTCCTATTAAATAACCTCTGACATAAGTGGTATTTGAGATGTACACATAAGTGAAACCTCATTGACGTAATTTATACATCTAAGAGGATTTCACTAAAACTGGCAAGGTAACATTTCTGCAAATAAAACACAGTAAATGCAAGGCTGGGCTGTGTGCCAGGAAGAATATGGATAGCAGAGAGCATGACAGGAGGCTCCTTTACGCAGAGACAATCCCATTTCGAGACAGCCTCCCAGCACTTGCAAAATAAATGATTGGAGGGGCTATTTCCAATAAGGGGTTTCTCCTTCCTAACAATGGGTCATTTATGTGATTGCAGTAAACTAGTTTTCATACTTCACCTGCGTCTCCCACACTGGTCTCTCCTCTCCTTCTTCTCTCCTCCCTCCATCCCTGCCCTTTCTCCAGTGTCTCAGTATCTTTGTGAACTCTGGACGAAGATTTACTTCTGCAACTTGGGAAGAGGGGAGAGAGTTGGAAATGTTTTTTACCCCCAGCCTGCCCTTTGAGGAACATCTGTTTCTTTGTGTGTGTGTTTAAATTTATGCCTGTTGGAGAGAAAGTTACCAGAAGCCTTTCTGTAACTGTAACTCTTCTACTGTATTTTTCTCAGTCCGGTTTCCAAAGGCTGTAGCTGGAACCGTGCTTTGTGGAGTTTCCCCGCCTCCCTCCTCGGCGGGTAGGAGCGCGGAGCGGATGTGAAGGGCTTTGGTGCTGAACTTGGAGCCAGCCCTTGCCTAGAGGGCGCAAACAATCGTCCCAGATCCAAAAGTCTTACGGAGGGCGCCAAAAGTTACTTAAGATAATATTGCTAACCGCAGAGAGCTGGAAATCGCGGGCACGTCCACTGCTGCAACAAAAGAAGTTTTTAAAGTAGAAATATCAGCATTAAATTACTTTTCCCCATTTTTTTTTAAACCAGGGCAACATGCCAATCCTTTTTAAAAACTCTTCCTTTTTTTCTTGAGATTCAATTAAAAGTAAGAATCTCTGCTGTTTTGGGAAGAGGCAGATGTGAAGTCTCTCAATACACCAAAAGAGAGATTTTTAATCCGCTCCGGAAGAGCGCTTCCCAGGAGGGCACGCTCGGACAGTAACTTCTGCTGTGCCTCAGTTCCATGTTGGGACCGCCAGCCAGCAACTTCTGTCGAGGAAACTTGGAGCGAGTTGAAGTTATAGATCCCAGCAAAGGTTTCCGTGGCCAGGGATGTTGTTTCTGAAACTCGGCTGCGCTTGTAGGACATTTCTCCCCCACTGAAATCCAAGAGGAACCAAGGAAAAGCAGTTGTTTAGTTTGGAAAATGGGACTCTCGCATTAAAGGTTTAAGTCATTATTTCCCCTCACCTCTTAATAAACAATCTGAGAGATGTCCAAGGATATGTAGGAGTGGGGTATGGGAAAATGGTCTCTTGAGAATTCAGGATTATTTCAGCAATAAAGTAACTGGAAAACAAACAAAATAACTTTAGACAGATGCAGAATATTTCAGAGAGTTTTATTCTGCTTTCTGCAGGAGCGTATTTCTTGCTCCCTTACTTTAAAAAAGGGGAGAGGGCAGTCTGAATGAGTGGCCTTAACCTTCCCCTCACCCTTACCCGCAGGGTGGGCACTCCTAGGGGAATGTCCCCCTGTCAGCTTGCTAGCTGTGCAGCCTCTGCCAAGGTGCAGGTTCCCGTCTCTGGGCCAGTGTCTTTCCTCCGGGAATTTTGAGCAGGATTCGCAAATGCAGCGGGCTGTAAACTAGAGGGAGGGAGAGAAGGAGAAGACATGGGGGTCTGGAGGAAGGAGGTACACTTTTTTTTTTTCCAGCAGGGAGGAGAGCCTAGAGAGAAAATATGAGGTTAAAAAAACTGGAAAAGCAGGCTTATCGGCAACTTGCCAAACCCTAAAAACCACCCCTCTTTTCTGCCAAAACAATACTTTAGCAAACCTAAAATAATTGCAGGAAGCTCTTTTCCATTTCAAGAACTATTACCTGGGGGAGGAAAAAAGAGGGATTCTTAAACGGCACCCCTGCAGAGGTGTCCCTGGAACAGGGACGGTAATGATGGCTTGTGCCCAGTTCTGGGCACGCATTTGTGGACCAGAATATCCTCCTTCCCTAAGGGGACATGCCTTTCACATATTTTTTCCTCCGAAAAAGAAAAAGATGTCGAAGCTAACGCACTGCTCTTGCTGAACGTGGTAGAACTTTTTCTATGGCGTCTGTGCTCAAACCCACTGGTTTCACAGTTCTGGGAGGAGAACGCTCGTTAATCTCCGCCTCCCTTTCTCCAGACAACCCCCCCCAAACCCGGTGAATCTTCTGTGCGAATCCCCCCCCCACCCACACCCCTGCTTCTGAATGCCACAGGACTGAAACGGCACAAAGTTTGCCGGATTTCGTGCATAATTACCTCTGCCGACGATCTATTCCCACAGAAAGCTTCGTGGAGAGATTACAATGCTTTGAGCCGTACCGCATTTCAGAGGCAAAAAAAGTTACCTAGGAGGTCGGATTTTTTAGAAAAATTAGCATCCACGCCAGTCTGCCCCCGCCGTGCGCCCGCTCTCGACGCCCACGCGGTGGGCCGGCGGGCACCTGGCGGACCCTGTCCTCCCCGCACGGCGTCCGCGGAGGTCTGCGGCGCGGGGGCAGGGCCGGGAAAGTAGTTTTGTTTGCTCAAGCACATCCTGTGCGGCCTCTGCTGCCCGGAGCTCAGCCTGAAACCGCGCCGCGCCGCGCTCCCCGGTCCTGCGGGGCGGGGGGGCCGGGAGCAGGGGGGCGGAGAGGAGCGGAGAGGAGGGGGGAAGAGCGAGAGGAGAGAGGAGGGGAGGAGAGGGGAGCGGCGGAGCGAGCGGGGGAGAGCCCGGAGCGCCAGGCGAGAGCGAGGCGCCGGCGGAGAGGGACCGCCGGCCGCTCCGCCGCAGCCCCCCCG